TAATATACAGTGCACATGTACATGTACAACATATGTACACATGGCAAATGTATACATTTATTCACAATACAAAGTTTTCTTTTCTCTTTCTCCAAGGGAAAATCTGCAAAGAAGAGGTACAATAAAACTTCAGGAAGCATGCTAAACAAATTTTGCTGCTTGATATGCCATATATGTATACCACACAAAATTTGAACAAATACATCAAATATCAAATTTCCCCTCGTCCTTGCATAAAGGAAACTCAACATTCTTGCAAACAAGTTACCGGTATATACTTTAGGTAAACAGTGAATGTTCTCTTTTCAGAGAAGTAAATGAACCTTTGTACCTGTACAGTGCAAGTCTTGGTATTTAAACACAAATCTCTGCTGGATACCCTCAGGGGTGTGAGAATTCAGCTTTTCACCTGATTTCATCATATTTTTGTTCAGATTTTTACTGAATTTCAGTCTTTTTTGGACACTTGCTCCCTGCAAAATTAATGGAACTTTCTGAATTTCAGCTTTTCACCCCTGATTTCTGCAGATGATCTTGACCTGCTTAGTGAAAGCGAATCACTTGTTGGAGTTGACTTTACACCTCTCATTCATTCATTGGTTTTAGTGGGAAAAACATACATATACTCTGTTATTCAAGGTGTCGTAAATTTCAAGTTGCAGTTTTCCTGGAGTCTCGGAAGGGCTGTAATGCTGATGGGTCAATGACGGAAGACAGAAATTGATCACTAGACATATAATGCTGTCAAAGAAGCAAAAAAGTCAGTATACATTGTATATTGGATGAACATCATCATGTTATGACTGCATTTGGATGGTTTATAAACATGATAACTTCATGCTCATGTGTACATGAACTCTTGCATGCATTGAAAATATACATGTCCCTGGTACCCGGTACATGCAACAAATCTAAACACTGTAAACATTAAAAGTAATAATGAAACAAAGCAATCTTGTACACATACATGTACATGTATGGGCACAGTACCAGTAGGTTGTCTGTGACACACAGACTTGTTTAATTTGTCATTCAGCAAACTTATACGTGTACATGTACCAATACATGTGTTATATGTATGTGCACAAAGGGATACATGCTTGATAGGAAAACTGAAACCAACATTCCCTCAGGTGCGGCAAATAGTACTGGAGCTGCTGTACATGTTTAGTACCATATGTGAGCTGTGTGCATGCGATGCAAGCATGCACGAGAAGGTTTTCGGAAGCAACCGCTTGACGCTCAGGGAACTTGCAGACAGCCTTAGTCAAGGGGGAGGGGCAGTCATTCGTTCAGAAAATTATTGTACATGTACATGTACACGTAGGTTTTTCCTACACGTACCAGCACATCCGGATGAAATTTCGTTCCAAGGGTCCTTGGCAAGCTGCCAGAATGAAAAAAGCCTCCAGGAATCTGGACCACAGAGCCAGCAAACAGTAGGTTCCTTCCCGAAAGAGAAAAAAAAGCCCCCCAAACGTTTGCCCAAAAAGTTTGTACACTGCTTCAGGAACCGTTTGGTCCCTAAGCTCCATGTTTGTGTGAACAGGTTTTCTTCTTTTAAGATCCTCAAAGAACTTGCATTATTGTCTCATTGGTGTCTATAACATGTAGTCAATTCAGCTGAAAAATACAGGACCAAAGTCATAAAGACAATTAACGGTACCAGTACATGTAAACATGTATGGTACATTCCTATTGCTAAACCAGAAGTTTTTTTCATGAAAATAGTTTGTTTACCACATACATGTATAAAAATGTGCATGTGTTACATGTAACTGGACAAGGAACACCATTTTTATTCCAACAGACTACCACGGAGCACGCTATTTGGCAGACTCAAAGAAAAAAAAAGATTAATTGCCTCACTCCGAGTACGATACACATAAGTTACATGTACCATATATGTGTATGTAAGTCTTGTGAGGAATGTATAATGTGCATGACAGTAATAAATTGATAACTCTGTGAAATGTTGTTGTTTTAATTTCCAGCATTCTTTGGGTGCAAATGTTTAGTTTGATGGGACACGTCTATGACATGTCTGATTAAGTGCACATTTTTTTTGTAGAAGGGGGATGGGTGAACATTTTCTTTCCATCTTGACGTGTCGTTTCCGTGATGTGCAGGGTTAGTTGTAGAAATTGTTTCGTCAGATTTTCCCGTGGGCTGTGATGAGCAGAGTCAGTTTCAGTCAGTTGTTAGCTGAGTGGGTAAAGATATATGAAAACGGGGGTCTCCGGCAGGAAATCTTTTCATTGGGCTTGAGGAAGTCATTCCATTCGTGCCAAAGTGTCAGCTGTTTGAAATCATTACTGTACAAACTTGGAGCACAGACAGGTTGAAATCCTGGGGTCAGCTCGCACACGTAAGTACGATGCCTCATACATGTACATGTACAGGTAGGTCTGACACCTCATAAGTCTAAAAAATGCTTTGAAAAAATTCCATTAGTCAGACGCCTCAAAAGTCCAACGATTCTTTATTGGTTTTTTTCAGACTATACATGTACAGTGTACATGTAGATCTGATGCCTCATTTGTCGGATGCCTTGTAAGTTCGAAAATGCAGACTTTTGAGGCACTGGACTTACAGTACATGTATGAGGCATCGGACTTGCGATATACACCCAAATCCTTGTGTACATGTATATTACTGTATTTAACTGTCAACATGTACATGCACATGCATGAGACTGCACTTTACTGGTACCTGTACGCTGTATACATGTATTTACATAAGTAGTTTTGCTTTTATTCAGGTGTCAGAAATACATGTACATGTACCTGTATTTTTGTTTTAACAGGAGTGATTCCCAGTACCATGAATCCACCATTAGCCACTTGCCGCTGGGGTTTCCGGTACCGGACACGTATTCTTTAATAAACGCGTTGCCGGGGTCTCTGAAATCGGATAAAGGGAACTAGGCCTTGTTACAAAAGACCATACTCGTAACAAAAGACTAGGCTGCTGGGCATTACCAACATTTTTTCACTCGCAGTAGTGGAGATAATCCAGCCTTGTTTTGAAACAGTATACCACAGTTTGAGTCATTTAGTGCGAGTGGATTACCACTTGGGACAAAAACGCTCCACCACCACAGCAATGAGCCACCGCTGCATGCTAATCTGGCCCCTATTGAAAAGAGGTCAGCAGTGCACTGTGCCAGGTTCGTGAACAAAAGAAAATTACATAACACCGCACAATCTGGGCTCTTTTTACAAGGCTGCAGGCCTGGCTGAAATACTTAGCATCAATAGATTTTGTCTGTTAGTTTAGAGTAGCCACCAGACAGTCATTCGTGTCGGTGTAAACGTCCATTAATGGAAATGATGGTTTTTTAAGAATTTTGAAGACTGAAAATCTTGAAAATATCCCGTTTGTGTGCACTGTATTTTTCAAACCACCCGGCAGCAAGTGGTTAAAGGTGATCTAATGAATGCAAATGCACACTGAAAAAATTGCATTATTGTAATTACATGCAGTCTGTTTAAAGTGTATAATTAAGTGGGGCTCTCATTTGTCCGGCCTCGTCACCATCAATCTTAAAAGCTGGATGTCCAGCCATGTTAGGCTGTAGAGCGTTACGTACAAGTACGGTACATGTACTGGTACAGTATGTGTAGCTACTGATTTTGACCTACATGTATAGGCCGGAAGTTCATGTACATGTACGTACATGTACCATAGACATTGTGGGGATAAACTTTGAGGTTTGCCTTACTGTGAATCACTTCTGTTTGCATGTATAAACTCTTTTGAATGGAGAAATGCCGGTAATGCATGTTTAAGTTATTTGTAATGGACTTGTGAATTAACCTCATATTCAGGAAATATGTACCGGAATTTGCTGGGAGGTCTCTTATAAACGATTCGGAATTGCTCATCAGTGTCTCCCTCAAGCAAGCTCTGCAGCTGTTAACACAGTTGAAGTAAAATTGGCAGCCTGAACAGGGAAGGAACTTTGTTCTTGAAGGGGCTAGACAATTGCTCTGTAAGGTGCACTTGTATGAGAAAATCATATTGTCTGTGGGACCATTTCATCAGTGCCCTTTGGCAAATACCAAAGGAATCAAGGCAAAACTTGCCTCTGTTGCCTCCATAAAGCAAATGTACATGTACATTTTTTGTACCTGCCCTGCCTGTAAATCAGGGTACAGTATGGTGTCCAGACCATGCCAATTTTCCAGACAACCTAGCTTTGGGGAAACACTGGTTACATGGTGCAGAGTTAAAAGTAATTTGAATTACATGTACTCACCTCTAGCTACATGTACATTTATGTAGCCCAGAACCCATGTTCGATTCCCACCCTGAGCCACACTTTGTATAGGTTCTGATTGGATTGACGGTACATGTAACTTTTGGAATTCATTCGCTCAGTTACAGTAGTAACCATTTACCATACATGTCAATCCAGTGGGAACATGACTTACAGTGTAAGCATTTTTGTGTGTGTACATGTAAATGTACATACATGTACTACAGGAATAGAAGATGATGATGCAGCGGTTCACAAGAATAGCCCAATCCCATACATGTATATATCAGTCTTATTAATTCAAATTAAGCATTAGTTTTTTGTTTCACATACGTTTTGTTATTAATTCTTGTGTCAATGTACATGCAGTTGTTTTACTACTATGAAATGTTTTTATGTAAATGTTACAATTTGACCAGTGGCCACCACACAAGTTAATAAACTAATTATAATAATAGTAACATGTAGCTACATGTACACGATTGATGTAAATTACTAAATTTGTTGAGATCTGCACAAGTTCTGTTGCTGTAAATTGATTTGGTTTGTTTCATTGCCAGAATGTGTTGTATTCCTGTATATTTTCTTTTGATTTGGATGAAATATATTTAGCCCATTCCTGTTTTTTAGAACATCTCTAATTTCTTACCGTTTAGTTTTTATAAATTTGTTTTTTGTCCATGATTGTTTGTAGGTGTTGTTTGTTTTACTTATTTCGCCCCTTTTCTGTTTGTTTCAGTTTTCAAATTTGGATGATTAGATGCTTCAAGGCATGGAAAGATGGCTGCAACCAGGTAAGCCATACATGTACATGGAGATACCCCAAAAGTAACATTTTGTCTTGATCATTCCTTGTGATGGTGTGACAGTTGTCATAGAATGGATCACTTGTACATGTACATGTGTAGACATGTACCAGCACATTTATATGCTTGTGAATCAATGAAATTAGTTGAGGTCAGTAGAAGTGAAATGAGGATGTGGTTTGTGGTAATGTTGCAGCTGCACGTAAGCACCTTTGACTGATTAACCGCATGAGGTTGGACTTGTAATTGGACAATGTTTAACATCCAGGTCTGCTCTGCTAGGATTGGATGAGACTTTGGAGGGTACATGTGCGTGAGATTTTTGAGGCCCAGTATTAGTTAGAGTGGCATACCAGAGTCTGCCCCTCTGAGCTGCAACATATGCAAGAAAATACGTTCATCTATGTACGTGTACATGTTGCACGTCAGTTTGGCAGGGAACCTGACTTTTGCCACAGAAAATATTCCCTATTTGCAAGGTGCCCACTGTACCTGCACCATTGAATTAGCCCTTGGATCACTATACAAAAAAGTACATGTACATATTTGTACACATGCCATGTACACGTGTACATGAGTTTGTTGTGTGCCCGGCAAACATCACAGCAGAAAAATGTTCTCAGCAAAAGGGCGTAAGAAACACTCTCTTTATTTAGTAAAAATGGATATAATTTATTACTTCAAAAAGCAACCTTTGAACAACTTGTTGAAGGACTTGGGAATTTTTTAAAAAACTTTTTAAAAAGAAATCTTTATATNTTAAACAGTTGCATATGTACGTCCTTTTGCCGGGGAAAAATATTTGTTGGAAAAGGGCATTAGTGCTTACGTCCTTCTTCCAAGCACACAAAGAGTTCTCCTCGGGTCAGCATGCTGTTCGAGTACATGTACCCTCAGGATTTGGGAGCAGTGATTCCAACAGTACATGTAGGTTTTCCCCTCGTTATAATGCTTCTCGGCCCCTCCTCTTTTTCCTGAATTGCAGTGATTCACCGTCCATCACTGTCATCTCCATCTCTATTGGGCACAATCAAAGGAGCCAAAGGGAAGTTCTTGGACTCTGACTCAGTGCTAATTTTGCATCTAGGGTATTCCTCCATTGGGCTTCAAACAGATACACGGACATGTACCAACCAATTAAATGTACCAACCGATTACAGTGCATAGAGAACTTTTTTTCTTTAAATACATTTTCTCACATGTTTTCCTTCATAAAAACATATGATTTGTAATTTTCCCCACCCACGTACATGTACTGTGTGTAGGCGTTGACGTAGCAGGTATGAACCACCATTAACTTGACAGAGGGTAATGGTTTGAACAACAGTGTATGTAGTTTAATGTGGATCCTCCTGCTACTGAAACTATGTGAATTTCATTTATTTTTGCACTAAATGTATTTTTCCACAAATGCAAATATACATGTACTACCATAGTTTTGATTGTTTGAACTTGACAACCGGAGATGAAAGGATCACAGAAACTGTGTAAATTGTATGAGTTGGAGAATGGTCCCGCAAAATTTCCAATATGGTTATTTTTAGTCAAATTAATACAGAGCATTATTGTTCAAATTCTGGGATATACATGTACACTACTCAAAAAAATTAAAGGAACAAGAGAACAGAATGTGTTTGTCATGGTCTATATGGGCTACCATTAGAACAAGAGGCATCAAGGTTTTGCCTCTTATTCTAACGGTAGCCCATATAGACCATGACAAACACATTCTGTTCTCTTGTTCCTTTATTTCTTTTGAGTTGTGTATATCCCAAAATACATGTGAACATGTAAAAAGTACTGGTGTGCATAAAAAAATAATTACACTTAGACAATAAACAAAAACATGTACCACACTGTATATGCAAACTGAACAAATTTTGCAATCGGGACCGTTAGAACTGATGCGGATCAATGCAGCGGCAGTTTGTTGACCACTGGTCGATTGTCACTGATGCGTGATATACATGTATGTACTGCACCTGTATAGGTTACCGGTCAAAATTGTCCTTTGGTCGACTATTCGCCGCTGATCGAACTTGCCCCATGTATGCGGCTTGGAAAACTTGGTGGTCATGACTCGTGCAGTCATTTACAAACCCACGTACAATGTACATGTATGTGTACGCGAGTACTTGTATACATGTTGATGTGAAACGGGCATTGCATACAGTGTGTGCAGTGACATGGTCACACAAAGCTGTGATATACCGGTAACCAACCAATCTTTCCAAGCCACAAACGTAACCAATATGCGCACATGTACACTACCATTTCTAATATGGTACGAGTAACTGTACTTACATGTACAGTGTGTATACATGTAGTTGTGAGGACTACGGTACACAAATGTTGATCTATAGTTTTTTGGATAAATTTAATGGAGACAGATTCTTACCTCAATCAGTTAATCCATCCAATGTATGGATAAATCAGGTTTCTATCCAATTACGCCAGTAATATTATGAAAACAAAAACATCCAAATTATACAAAATATACCTGAATTTGGTGTACATGTACGTGTAATGTGACCTGTTTTTTTGCCAGCAACTCACAGAATCTGGTTTAATTAGGCCAGTTTGTGCCCTGTTGGGCCATTAATAACTTCCACACTGACATAGTGCTAAGAAGATAGTTTTGGGGATAATGAGCTTTTAATGAAGCTACATGTAGCTACATGTACCATCTGCATTCATGCACTTTAATGCATTGTCAGTGCCCAATAAGCTTTCATATGTACCATTACGTACGTGCACATGCAGCATCCATCACATACATGTACAGTGTACATACACTCAATTCCTCATTTGGTCCAGTGCTGTTGTAACATCCACTTTCCTGCTCCGCACCAGTTCTGCGTAGTACGTACATGTACATGTACCTTTCCGTACACTGGTATGAAGTCCTGCATGTACAGGTACACATGTATGTACCTGTACATGTAGGTGGGGGTGTATGTATACATGTACATGTGTGTGACAGCAAACCTACTGGTACCTACCGTTCTGTAATGAACTTTGCTGGGCTTTATGGCTTCATTTGCTTTGCTAGCTAGCCCATGCAGTCTTGAAAAACATTTACACACACATATACATGTACAATATAAACTGAAAATGTAGTGTAATGTTATGTAACCTTCTTTGTCTCTATCAGCTGTTTCCCGCTCAGTAAATACTACCGTTACTTCGGTTTGTTAACATTCTGAGGTATACGGTATGTACATGTACGGCTGATAAGCCAGGCTAATGATGTATGATAATGTGTATTCGGCTTCATTTGATCAGGTGTGACTGGAAACGACACAGGCAGAAACAGTCGGGGAGTGGATCGGCTTTACACAGCTGGATCATCAGGTAGCAGCATAGATGAGAGAATTGGTCTGGAATCAGTCGGTGGTCGAAGTCGTTCCAACTCCTTGCCCATCCGGGCGCAGTCACAGAGCGAATACCTGGACTCGATACGAGCGCTAGCTGAGGCCTACAGTACTGTAGAGCAGCACCGGAAGAGTGGGGGCCATGCCACTGGTGCAGTGGGTGAACTAGGTACCGGTAGTGGCTACCTGACCCGGTCCCGCAGTGCCACCATGACAGACGTGCTACACTACCGTGCTGGCCGTACGGACTCGCAGCAGACCGTTGACTCGAGTCAAGTGTTTGACCGGGCATCACCACAGGTGTCGGATGTGAGCGAGGTGTTTCTGCCGCCAGCCTCAGATGACGAAAAGGCCAGAATCATCAACAGTCGACTACAGGAGCTGGACAGTGCGCAGAGGTCGTGGAAGAGGCGCGTCGCCGATTACGTACATGGGCTGCCCTCAACCAAGCCCCTGCCTGGGGAAGGGGGACGAATACAGGATCCCAAACGAAGACGTATCTGGTCGACTGGGGAGCGTCTGCCGTGGGAAATCAGATCCAGTGATGGAGTCTCACCACGGCAAAGGATTACCACAGTCAGCTCAGGTGAGCTTTTTGGAACACATGTACATTGTTGCAGACATGGAGATGGATTGTCCATCTATCCATATGTGTCAAAATGGCACAAAATGCTCTATCAGACTCTTAACATTTATTTTTCACAAATTTTTTGTGTGATATCATTTGAAAGGTTAATGTAATGACTTTTTTCTCAGATTATATGCATTGTCTACGCAGCTGAGGTACCGGTACATGCATGTGTACTTTTCTTCAATACATGAAAACTGTTTAAAAGCTCTTTTGCATTGAGTGCATCGAAAGTGTTGTTTTATTTGAGAATTGTCAGTGCTCTTTGGGACGACTGGGGCGCTGTTGCTGTGATGTTGAGGGATGACACTGTTGGGTAATTTGACATTGAACTATCATTGACATTGACTGCAACTATCTTTAAAAAATTTGTTTGGAAAATTATTTACATCACTTATCACTTGGAAATTAAAGAATGTGTTCTAAACGTACAGTAACATACCCAGTTTCTTTCCCTGGGATGACATTCCAGATCTGCTCCCAAATGTGGAAATTTACATCAGCATACATGTAAAACAAAAAAAAACCCACAAAATATCTCTGAAAGAAATAAGCCCTTTGCAAGTTAAATTTGAATAAAATCTGGTGCACTGAGTTATCAGATTGCACATAAACATAATTTGAATTTCCCAGATTAATTTACCTCATGATTCAGGGCAAGTTTTTGCATAGCAACCACTATCTCTGGAATGATCTGATTCCGATTTGTGCCCTTCTTATCCCTTGAAAACAGTGTACATGTATTATTGCAGTGCATCTCCCACGTGTACAGGCATATGCAGTCCAGTAAGCAAAATCTTGCCCTGAGTCAAGAGGTACTGTGCTGTGTCTTTAACCCAACTTCCTAGGGTGCATGTTAATCACCATCACTGTTTTGTTCCCCTTCAAGCCCCCGTGCACACACATTGTTAATTTCTTTCTCTCCTTTCTAGTTCTGACAATGTCTATACTAGCATTGTACAAAGGTCTAAATCTGCTAATTAGTTTTTCAGTTGTAGAGCCAGTAGCACATGGCAGGTGTAACAGGCTTTCATTTCCTCTCAGGATGATAGCAGATTGCACAGCTTAATCCTGATTGTATACCGACTGTACCCCGTACTGGTACATGTACAGTACATGTACATGTTCACGTACAATGTACATATACACCCTTCCTTTTTTTTCCTTTCAGCTTTTATGAATTTCATTTAAAACAGAAAGTTTACTTTTTGTATAATATGCCATGCACATGCCATCCTTAAAACTGCAAAAAAGTATTACTAGTACATGTTTGTACATGTACATGTACATGTACATACATGTACTGTACAACAACTCTTATAATGTTACAAGGACACCTTCGAATGAGTTTTTAACTGTAAACTTTTACAACGCAGTAATTAGTGGTAGAATGAGCACAGTACAAGTTTACATGTAATCAGCCAAAATTAATTAGCAAAGCTTCATGAAAACGCAAATCCACGTTTTCCTACATTCTGGCCCCTCTGCTTAGCGTGTTTTTCCATAGGGAAGGTGACACAGGTGTGTCTTTTTGTGAAAACAAAAATCTAATTTCTCTTTTTTTATGTGCTCAAATGGAGGGCCTGTTTGCTTTTCCTCATGAAAATGCAAAATGCAGTTATCAAGATAGCGACTGCCCCTGGCATCAGTTGTGTAATTTTGACTTTAATGATGTTTTATTTGCTTGTGGAAGTCATGTTAAAGCAGTGAAGTATAATGTTTTAAAACAAAATGGAAAGGAAAAAAAAATTGGGAGAAAAGTCATTTTAACATTACCCTCTTTACATGAAAGCGGTGATGATTATAAAAACCAAGAAAGGGAGATCGCAAATGTATGAAGTTACCGTGGCAATGGATACCTTGACATGTACCTGACCCTTGCACTGCCGCAAATTTCAAATAAGTCTGTGTATGAGGTACTACCAGCATAATTAAAGAAAACGATTTTTGCACATTGTGAAAATCTTCTCCATGCTGTACATGTACATGGAGTTGCCCACCAGTAAAAATGGTTGCTGCTTTATTGTTTTCTGTTTCATTTTAATGTTCAGTATTCATGGTAATGGCACATGCCCCCTGGAGGCATCCGGCAAGCAAGTTTCTGTATTGTATAAAAAGAAGGTACTTTGAAGGGTTTGTAATGTACATGTACCAGGCCACACAGTGAATGTTTTTCTATGAGTTACATGTACGTTGGTGTATACAGCCTAAAACATGGTTGCTAGTTTTTATGAAAAAAAGGACTTACATTATGATGTGGTTGAATACCAGTATTTTTATGCTACTGTACATGTAAACAGACTTGTTACACTATCGTGTATTGCATTAGTTGTTTTAAATTCAAAACGTGCAGGTACACGTGTACATGTACGATGTATATACATGTAATATATGGCAAGTTTTATAACGGTTTTTCTTGTCAGACTGCCAGCAATATCGAGTATCACACCATACCTTTTCCTCCCAGTTCATTTCATTTGAAATTACCATCAATTGAGCCATTTGCAATAAGCCAACAAATCTCATCGAAAATTACCGAGATATGTAGGTGTTCTCACACTTCTGAAATTTGCTATATTTGCTGTACTGCTACATATGAAGCAGTGACATGTAAATGTACACGCACCTGTATGTTGTACATTGCTCTCACCTTTTTTATAAACTTCACATTTTATGGAACTTCACGTGTTATGGTTGATGCAGGCCCGTCTTTTGAAGGGGCTCAGAAGTCCCCTCCCCAGCAACTGGCACCCATTGGCGCAAACCGTATGCATAATATTGTTCTTGTGATATACTGTATGTCCGTCAGCTGGTACTATGGCCCCCCAACGCCAAGGCTGGCGACGGGGCTTGGTTTTTGTAATGCGTTCACTTCACTACTCTTCACTTCACCCACACGCCACTTGTTTACATGCACATATACATGTACTGTCAGTATTGTGCTTTACCCATCTGTAAAGGTGAAGTCCGTTCACCTGCCAAAGATGCTTCCAAACTTTTGTGGAGGTTTCTTTCGTCTGATAAAAAGGAGATATGAGAAGTGATGACGTTTGAGGCTTACAAACAAAAGAACTGATAAAAGAAGGTGACCCACCCCCAAAAAAACAAAAACAAAAAAAACAGGGTAGGGTTGTACATGTACATACTGTACATTTACATGTAGATCTGTACCTGAGTTCATGTACATTCACATCTACTTGTACGTATCTCTGCTGGTGGAAATGAGATCCAATCTCCTCAGCCCATATCTGTTTGCACGTTGCAGCAATTAACCATGGCTGTAAGTGTATAACGGAGGAATTATTTTAGTAACAGCATGTTGGGCAGATCCTGAAGGACTGATTCCCCTCTGGCATAAAGATTTTCACCATTGATAAAATGGCCATTTGCTGGACCCCGGTACATCTCGGTGTTCATCCACTGGTCATTGATACACAATGGCACGTGTTTCGGAAACACGTGGCTGGGGGGCATATAACTGGTTTACTGCAAAGAAAGCTTCTGTTATCAACTATGTAGGCAGACTTGAGTGGAGTGAGGGAGAGTTTGGTTCTTGGAAAAAATGAAAAGAAAAAGACAAAAATTGAAAAAAAAAGTGCTGGGAAGGGGATGACAATCACCAGTTTATGCGAAAATACACTGTGCCGTGGAATTAACCTCAGTCCACTGTTGCTACATTGTAGCTTGCCAGTTTGCTGCTGCTGAATGGGACATGTACTGTATGTACAGTATCTTTACCACTCCCCCTCCCCTCAGAAAGCTTTGCCCCCATTCTGGTGAAGTCTGTGTACACTTTATGTACCAGTACAGGTACATACAGTACATGTGCATGTACTGTACAATATACATGCACATGTACCGGTACTAGGAGGTCGACTTGAAATCATGGTAACATGACCAATGCCACAAAAACCTCAAGTTCTGCGCAATTTCATGGCTCTTTAGAGGAAAAAAAGTGAAGTCTGTGTTGTGTCATTTGCTTTGACAGGATATTGTTCTGTTGGCATGATATTGCACTGATAGGGTAATCTTGAAAACTGTTCAAGTTTAGGTTTACATGTGTTTTATGCATGTTGATGATTACAGTGTGTACATGCATGGGCACATTTATGTGTACACAATTCACATCTGTCTGGTAAATGTACTGTACATGTACATGTACCTGGTGTTCACTGTAGAGGTTCTGCTACATGTACAAGTAAGCTGTTGGCACCTAACCATCCTCAATCCTTCACCTGCCAAAGGACTGAAGACAGTTATGGCATTTTCCTGTAAATACTGTACGTGTACCGTACGTACCGGTACATACAGTACATGTACCTGCATAGTACATGTACATGTACACATAGGTGTACATTGTACATGCATGCAAAAGTAAGCCCGCAAAAGTTGTGTCTAAAAATAACAATCAAGCCTTGATAATGAGAGAAGCAGGTTGAGATACCGGTACATACATGCACGTAGGCCATTAACGTGCAAGTAACGCATAGATCATGGTTTTTGTCATGATCATAGCTTTACACATTGTACCGATATATGTTTGTTCAGATATAGTACATATCTTTATTTTGTTGTACAATGCACAGTATTAAGTTTTGTCAAGTGGATAACAGTGTATTACCAAATGATGCAACCAAAACAATATGTAGAAAAAAATCTACTGTATTCATGTTTTAGATTTTGGGACCAGTAGTAATATTTTCTCATTTGAGCAAGGGACTCTTTTCTTCCTTTGGCAGATTCCACCTACTCCTGTTCCCAGCTTTCCACGTCCTCCAGTAGGGACAGTATCCAGCTCTGGGTGGACTCCATCGATGGCCAGGAAGGGGACCCTGACATCACGTTGACCCCAGGACAGGTCAATGGGGACCACCGAAAAAGCATTGGCAGCTTGCTACCTGCCAACAGGAAGATTTCGGACTCAGGAAACGGTAGGTGTACCACCTAAGATTTCACCATGATTGGTGTAATTACCATACATGTATTATCTTCTTCGAAAAATAACTTTCCACATTCTCTCTTTTTGTCTGTTTGGGGTACATGTATACATACACGTACATTGAAGTTTTGCCATATTAGACATACCCTTTGTACTATCCATGCATTCATTTCCAATGTGAATTAATGCAGATTAAATCAGCCTTCCACAAACTTGGCATCCGCGGTCTCGCGATTGTCATTTTGAACACTATGCATGCATGGGCAAGACTCTGAATGATAAAATCTTGTATGCCATTTTCATTTCACAGCGAATCTTATTTATAAAGGAATTTCCGACTCTGTCTGATGTTTTGTCTATGACTTCTTACAAGGACAAAAACAGGGAAAGAAGAGGGGTGCGGGAATGCAGAATGACTGCTGTTCCTCAGTTATTCAGTTCAGGTTGTCTTAAATATCTTATGTCTTTGTCGATGGGCTGTGGGTAATTTTGAATACTGCAATGAGTGTGTGCGTGTGGGTTCTAATACTCAGTGACACATATTGTGCACATTGTACTGAGATATTGGCTCTTTAATTTCCTTGAAGGACATTTTGGCAATGGGTCTGTTTTCCTGGCCTTTTTGGAGTTTACGTTGGGCGCATGAAGAACAACACATCAGTTGAGGGATCAGGATGAATGTTTGTGTTTATTTGCTTGCACAGCTTTTTACTTGATTTGTTTGTTTTCCTGTGTCATATTTCTTCTGCTCCCCCCCAGGCATTCCAAAGCGCATTGTCGCTAGTGTCGAGGATGATCTGGGCTTGGGTGCTGATGCAGGTTCAGTCACAGGTTCCATCAAAGGCGAGGATGCCACGACCAATCAAGTCACAGGGCCGGGGTAAGAGAACTTCCCTACCATCTGCCATTACCTACCCCAACTTTCAAACCCTCTCATCCTTTTTTCCCCTCTAATATACTAGCTGTGCAAGTTTCTATGAGGTTGTTATTTATTTTTGTTTTGTTTTTTGAGAGACAGAGAAACACCTTTAGAAAAATAATCTTGCTTCAAAGTTGATTTCACTTATTACACATGTAGCTGGGCCGCTTCTGATGTGACTTGCCTCGGTAGTTTGGCCTTGCAGTACTTTTATCAGTTACTTGAACTGCCAGTAAAATGGAGATGTATACTACCTTTGCCTGAATCAACTTTCATTTGGCAGTTGCATGTGTTGTGAGAGCCAAAGATTGCTGTCACTTGTTATTGTTTTCAAATCATTTCACGGATGTTTTTACAGATATAGGAAACTTGCTTTTTAAAACTTATTTGAAAATTTAGATCTGAGGCATGTACATGTAGTCTGTCGCAGCATCTCTCGGCATGTACTGTACCAAGTTACTGTACTGAGTAGTAGATCATACATGTATATTGTGTGTACATTTCAAATGATCAATGTTTAAGTTAATGTACTGCTGTGGCACCTCCTCACACTGTAGTCTTTCCCAAAAGCTGAAACCTGGTGAACGTTCTAGAAAGTTCAACCACGCCACAAGATTAGTAAGGACTCTGCTTACATGTTTGCCTCTCAGGGGCAAAACGCTTGCGAAGAAGCTCACCAACAGCGACATCATCAACTTGGCAAACCAGACGAAGGCGCTCCAGAGTCGCCGAAAGCAGCTGCAGCGTATGGGGAGCAGTGCCATGTCCGATGCTTCAGTGGCCAGGTACCTGTGAATTACCTTTACCAATTTTCTGGCTAGTCACCACTTTCCTCCTCAAAGATCAATACGTACAAGTACTTCCAAGCTGAACTAGACAGATTTTCGTAGCTAGATGCACACATTAGCTAAATCCCGGTCATAACAGTTTCCTAACTGTGGCATTTGTATGAGCAGCTCATTAATGGGGCTGCTATTTCACTTCCACAGTTGGATTATGTGTATGCCCAAAAGATCTTTGACCTTGTAAATTAGGGGTGGGCTAGCCTGATGCCTTTACAGTGTTGCAGGTCATTGACCTGTTTTGTGTAATGTAAATTATTTCACATGACGCCAGATCAGAAAATACATGATTTTGTCATCTTGGAGAATAGTATACATGTATAATCATCACACCTACACATATCCAACCTGCACATTGCACTGAACAGCAAAGAAATGTTAACTGGAGAATGTGGCTGAATATTCATGTTGAAACTGACAACATTTAATACATGTTAAACAGGGATAGAAATAGACAGCTGGCCACCAGGGTTATTTCAGCCCCTGGGTACATGTGTACATGTACGTGTTAAACTGCAGGGACCAGGGGCCATGGCCCACGGCCCACTGGCCAGAGGCTATTGATGAAAATTTGGGGAAAGAATTTGAAGGAAGTCATTTTATGTATGTCAGCATGCAGGGTTTTTTTCATAACATATATACACTGTATGTGTAGCGTACATGTATTAACATGGACAAGCAGCTTACGGACTTAATAAGCTTACGGACTTATTAATTTTAATTGAATGTACTTGTATATGTAGGTGTTGGAAAAAAATGAAAGAATTGGAAAAAAACATCAGCTTTTTGGGCGTTTTTATTCTCCTCGTCCCACATGATAATTTTTGTGTGGGCATGGACAAGGGCCACAAAAGTGTGGTGGGGTAATTTTTGTAGCCAGATGCTACTGGCAGTTTTAGTAACTTTTTTTGCAGCAAAATGATTAATATATGTGGTTGTATTCACGTACTGGCACACTGAAGGTATTTTGCTTTAAAAAATCTTCAAGAGCTCAACAACTGCATCTGCATGTACTGCTGGTTGTGTCAATGACTTGTGCGCATTGCATAAGTTAAATGTCCCGTTGCTCTGTTGTTAGCCTCTGCCCACATTGATATTCCCTTACGTGTCTCATCAGATGTGGCCGTTCTAGCCCGCCAACCTTGAGGAGGCACACACACCGTCCTTTTCTGTTAAGTGCCTGCAGCAGCATCATGGGGTATCATTGCAGGGTATTCTCTTCACTCTTTGATGCAATCAGTGTCCACTTGATTGGAATAATAGTGGGGCATCCACTCTTCATAGCTATTTGTCACAGTGACAGCTGACATTTTCCTTGACTGAGGAGTAAATTCCCCTGTGTGTCCCTGTCCATTCTGTCTTTTTTTCCCACCTTGTTGGCATTTTTCACAGTTCAAGATTTTGGCCTTGAGTGACAAATTGTTTGTGTCATTAGTTTTGCTTGATTTTCCCTTGGTAGATGATGCCTAGAAGATGTTGAATAAAATGGTGAAGCCAGCAGTTCCTTCATACACCCTGGTAGTGCTTTTTCAAGCTTAAGATAAAAGGTCTCTGCTGAACTAAAATGTTTTCTGCACCAAATTAAGCAGACAAAAAATGGATGAGAACAAAGATTACATGTATGTCACTCAGAGGCCTATTTCAGAGCCAAAAGTCATGTATTCTATCAAAGAGATATTTTTCTTAGGCCCTAATACATGAACTCATTCAGATTAGAAATCTGGCCTTATGCCAAAAAAAGTCTCGTTTTTCCTGGAAATGATGTACATACACATATTTATTCCCATTCATAAATAACTTTTTATTCAAAGAGTCAAAAGTAATCACCATATGATGGATTTCCAACAATTTTGTTCTAAAACTTCGCTTTTATTTTTCTGAACATCCCTTCCATTTCATTGTATATTCCTTTTGAAAGTTGTCCAATAAAATCCCCTTCAATGAACTTGGCACACGTGTGGTGCATCGCGTGCACAGAGACTCCTGACCAATCAGATCCGATTAAACTGTCTCGTATCCATGTGCCAGCGCGTGATTTATGCAGTGGGCATTATCAAATGTTAATACATGGTCATGTGGCACGTTTCAACCAATAGGAATAGAAAAACTGTCCAAGGTATTTATGAATAATATATTGAAATAATTTATTCATTTATAGAGCACAAATTTCCTACCCTTAGATGTACATGTACGTTGAAATGCACTGTACAATTAATGTGGTCCAGCTGATGGCATACAAGGGTGTTGCAAGGAGCCACCAAACAACCCACATCCACCTACTGTACATCTGTAGAGAGGAGACAGTGAGAGAAGCAGTTACAGTTTTAGACGTGGGAGGAAAAGTGCAGGAGAACATTCTGGATAAAACCCAAGCAATCGAGTAGGGATCGAAAACCCAATCCACAGGTGGACTGAGCATGGATTCAAACCCTTGCTGCAGAAGTGAAAGGCAACGAAAAAACTACTTTACCAACTTGACTCCAGTGTTCATGTATGTACATGTACTTATTTGTGACTGCACACAGTTGCAATTTTACATGTACATAATGCACAGTGTACAGATGCTTTGCACAACTGCTCTTAAGCTGTGAAAGTCAATCATGCATGCATGGGCTGTAGGGTAAGCTGAACGCATGGTGTCATCATGGACATAGTATTTTGTGTCAAGTTTAATAGAGGTCCCACTTCCAATTATACCTCCCCAAAAATCAACATTTTTCAGTATTCAGGGATTGCAGCACATACGTACTGGTACATGCACCATACATGTGTACACATGTCATATGAACAGTGCAGTATTTCCTGGATAAGTGTTAGGTGTCAGTGTCATTGTGGTGAGAAAAAGCAAACAGACATCGCACTGTATCACAGATATTATTAGCATTCACAGTCAGTTGGCCTGAGGTAGATGATTAGCATGGATTAGTGGTGTTGATGATAATGTGCTGGTGTACTCATGCTACTGGTCCCTCTGACCACACTAAGCATTTTGAATCAGGATGGAAGAGAGGATGGTAGGAACAAGTTTTGCACCGATTATTTCACCATATGCAACAGTTGATTCAGTTGTCGATGATACTGGTACATTTAATATTTATACTCGTACATGTACGTACATGTACACTGTCTATGCATCCCAGCTTCAAAGATGATTGTACCTGCACATGTGGGGGGGGGGACTTGGTACATGTATTTGTAACGTATCTGGCATGTCTGGGGTTGTGCCCCACACAGGACCTTGGACTAGACAACATTGCCGAGTTCATTGCTGGAGTTGAATGAGTGACGCTATTAATTATCTCTAACAGCTGTTGGGAAAACTATTTAGCCAGGTGTGGTATCAGGAGAAGTTGACACAGATCCAACTTAAAGTTCATTACAGTTGCAAAGTTGATCGTGAAAAAATTAAAACGGTCATGGATTTCTTGTTTTGTTGTGTTTAATTTTTTTTTGTTTTTTTTTAAGGGTACATGGGGGTTGTTTTACATGTGGCTTTGTCTTGGATTGTGAAAATTGGTATCACATTGAATAATTGTTCTTCCTCGTTAAGTCGTTTTTTCTAAAAACCTGTATATAAATGTATGCCACTGTATATAAATATATAAAATTTTGGTTAGTTGTTACACATGTACATACAGTCACCTGTGCATGCAAAAGTTGAACGGCATCACTGAATCAGGAAGTTTGATGGTTTACACAAGTGGTTTCAGGATAATGTGTACTGTTTGCACGCTTGGCTTTTGTATGAGAAAATTTTTTTAGTTTGGCTCACTTGAGCCATCAGAAAAGTAAAAAGTGTACATGTACTGTACATTATTTGTGGCCCACTCTGTGAAAATGAGGCACAAAGCAATTTCCTCAGTAATTTTGTTTGTTTACATCAGACAAAAGGAACAACTTTAGCTTTTTGTATTGACATATGTGTACATGCATATTTCTCAGTTTTTGTGATCTGTTCATTCTCCTATCTTTCAATGCGGGCGGTTCACAATAGTGCACCTCCAAGAGTTTGCAACGCGTTGGCCAATCACAACGCTCGAAATTTGTCGACCCTTTCCAAACGGGCATTAGGTCGACAAATTTCGCGCATTGTGATTGGCCAACGCGTTGCAAACTCTTGGGGGCGCACTATTGTGAAACGCCCATATTGTCTAAAATCTTTTTCTTTTCTTTTTTTTGCATTCTTAACAATCTCCCTCATGCACTGTGTTTTCATCGTAGCAGTTACCCATAAATAGCTGAGTCTTTTTCAAGACTCGTGATTGCTTTTTGCTTCATTTTCCTGCTGTTTTTAAAATCCACTACATTTTTGCAGGGTTCCCGGGGCCTGGAAAAGTCATGAAAAACTCATTGAAATTTATTTTAGTTTTCTATGCCTGGAAAAGTCATTGAATTTTGTAAAAATCACTAAAGTCATGGAATTTGTGCGTGATTTCTATTATCAGAAATAAGTGCATAAAATGCGTGATTTTATTTGCAACTTTAAAAGTCTGATAAGTCCAAGAAATTGCATTATTGGGTCATGGATTTTCATAATTTGGTCTTGGAAAATCATGGAAATGTCATGGAATTTAATTGTCCTGGAGGTGGAGGAACCCTGTTCTTGAGCTACATGCACCTTGGGTGCATCTATTATATGTGTATGTTTTGTGTATTGATATCCTGTGAGGATGTGAAACAGGGAACCTACCCATACATGTGCAACTGTACAGGTACAAATACACGTCCTGCTGGAGCTTCATTTATGTGCATAAAGACAGATAGCTGTTCCTCCCCCCCTGCCTATTTGATCTTGTGGCCTTTAATACCTTTGCTGATGAGATTCTGATGAGGCCATGGCATCACTTGGCAACCATAGATATAAACCCACCTGCTTCTGAATCAGAGAGATCATCTGTAGAGTAAATACATTGGCTCCCTATTGCCTCAGAGAAACATGAGGTTTGGAAGAGATATTGAATCGTTCTTGAGTTCATTCACATACATGTACTGTACGTACATGTACCTTCATACGGGGCACGTGCTTGCATGCGCGTGTGTTCTGCATAGTCTATGCAAGCACCATAAAGATGTATCTCCTCTGATAGGATAGATTTATCCAATCTCACTATCAGAAGAATTATTCCCTATTTCAGCCCCAAAGTGTCAAGTACATTTAGACAAATGACGGAGTTTTAAACGTCAGAATGTGCACACATTGAACTTTGTAGCGCACAGGAATGTGTATGCTGCAAATGTTACCCCGTGTTCAAAACATCTTGGTTACAAAGTAGTTCGTGTGTAGCTAAGCGTATAGCCCTACGCGCATCGCCCTACTGTGTGCCTCACTCCGATCAGGTGGCATGTGGAAGGAAGTATTTGCATGTATACTTGTACACACTTACTGTACATACATGTATAATGTACAGTGTAAGCGTTTATATTCAATAGGACAAACTAGCTTTTATCTTCACTTGAAGTCCGCAAGGGATTGCCACTGATTGCGAGGGCACTTACTTCTTAGGGCTTAATTTGGTGGAAAATCGTATTTAATAAGCTAGTGGCCTGTCAAGGTTGAGTTTGGCATTGTCCGTCTGAAGCCTCCTCTGAGGAAATGCAAGCAAATTGCCCCGACTCCAAACCAGTGTCTATCAATGTGCTTGATTGAATGAGTTGGATACAATCAGGCTTGGAATCCTTGGGCAATTACAGTTTGACTCAGCAGATTTGGGTTACTGTCTTTGTGAGGGTGAAATGGTAGGGTCTGGGGGGGCATCTGTGGACATAACACGCTTTCCTTGGAAGAGATTGTGACTTCATAATAAAGGGACTACATTAAAGAATGCGTGTGTCATGTTTGAGACCAGAGGCATTGCTTGAAATGCTCCTTGGCATGCCTTCATGGAAGATTTATCGTGCATCCACATTTAGGCTTACATGCACATGCACATGTATACGTAACTTCACAGGCATTTCACGGAAGAGAGGGGTGTGTCACACTTTTCCATTAGTCAGTTTTGTCGGCAAAATCACAGTGCTGTCGGCAGGAATGGAGAATGAAGGGTAACGGAAGGGGAGCTTACATGTCAGGTCGGGGAAACAGACTATCATTACACCCGTGAAATTTGCTGATACAATGTAACTCGGCAGATATTATGATGGCACTTCCCCTCTCCCATTTGAAATGGTCTAGTGAAGCCTGTGCATAGTTGAAGTACTCGTATTGACATGCACAATGTTGTTGTTTTGATGGAATGAGAACATTGACAGTGAAATGTCTGTGGATCAGTACCACTCTGTGGAATTTGAGAAAAGCAATCCAGTCAAGTTCACGTATACTTGATCATCAGGAAGATCACACCTATAGAGTTCAGGGAAGGTGTGAACTGTAAGCAGGATAATGACTGCTTGTGAGTGTCGTGGTACAAAGTGCACAGCTGTCGTGTTTGAATGTGCACATTTTGGAGTAAGTACTACTGTTGGGCTTACACTTAAACCCTAACTCCTCAGTAATTCTTTGGCCAAAAGTTCTCAACACACAACAAAGCACCATTCGTAAACTCCTTATCTGTGGAATAACCCAGGACACATTTTCACACTTCAAACAAAAGTGGGGATAATATGTGTAAATAGTGACTGGGCTATGCAGATCTTAATACATGCATCATGCAGCAGTACATAAGCTCACGAGCGCAAAATCTACTGTACAGACTTCTCCAGCTGCCAGAATTGTAAGCCTCCACTGCAGTGGTCCCCAAAGCCTCACACACAGGTTGCATTCACGTACATGTACATATGTAAAAATCCATTGCTCTTCTGCCAAATATGCCCATTCTCTACACCTCAAGTTCAATGTTGCACATTTCCCCCATGTTGCCTACTTCAGAAGATTGCTTGTGCATGGCACATGAATCCCAGAATAAAGAAATTGAGTCAGCTGTGCTGTTTGAAACTTTCATGAAACTGGCAAACCACAAGTTCATATTCTTCTCTTATGAAAAGAATTAAAAATGAAAATTCATTTGTGATATCTTGTAATGTAAGAACATTGGTCCCACTGCTATGGTAGGAATTTGTTTGAAGTTCTCTCATATATGGCTGTTTCTTTCCTGAAGTTTGAAGTCATGTACAGTTGCTGTCAGTGTTTTTCCCTTTCCTTTAATACAGTGTATCCGACCTCCTTTATGCCCGCAACGACCCGGAAGAGCTGCTGCTGAGCCTGGGCTTTGGTGGGGGGAAGGAGCCCAACCCTTTGGACCGAATTCCTGGTCGCTTCCTGCAGCAACCATCCATGGCTCAGGGCATCAGCGTTGACAATTACCTGATGCTGTCAGAAACTCAGGACCAAAAATATGGTGAGGTGCTTTTTTTTCCATCTCCGTATTTTGGAAAAGGTACGTTCCCATTGGACTTTCTCTTGGATGTATTGGTAAGACTTACAGTAGCTATTGGTCAGTGGTCAGACCTCAGTTTGCACTTTAAGCTGCCCCAAGTCACTTGGCTAGAGCTGGCGATAATGCAAGGGTTCATTGAATCCTCCAGCTGGTGGCTAGATTCATTTCTTTGAAATGCATTGCTGGCTGTAGCCAAATAATACGGACCCAGCATTAAAGAGGTAAAGGACAAACATGTAAAGCAAAGGTAATCACCTGATCAGCCAAAAACAGGTTGCCCACTCACTTGTTGAACTTGCACTCTCCTTCACTGCATACGCTGCAGTGCTTGTTGTTAAAAAAGGTTTGGCAAACAAAATCTTCCAAATAAGCAAAGGAAATGAAATACATCCCTACAGGTACATACATGTACATATGTGTAAGTCAGAAAAAACTTCTGGTCCTCTGCGAAATTATTCTCGCTAGATTATAGCTCGGGTTGAGCAGTGGGCAAGCATCCAGAACACCCTAACAACGGAATGAGATAGTAATTATCAGTACAGGCTACAACCCTACAGTGTCTACCAATGGTCTCTGAGTAAAGTAATATTTAGTACCACAACAATGAATCTCTGTGGCTTATAGACTTCTAAAAGGCCAAAAAAGCATGATAACCAAAATAGAAAGACCTTGGTACAAACTCTTACATTTCAGGATATTAAATACTGTGCATCTTTATGTGCATCTCCTTCTGTTGAAATGGAAGAGTGTGCACGACCCACCTTTTGTTTTCATTTTGAATCCACCCAATTGAAGTGTGGATATTTACCTTTTAATTTGATAGCCAATGGATGGAAAGCTTCTTGCTGCCCAGTCCACTACTTAGGCTCTTTCCATCCATTGACCCAGTTTTGGCTTAATTTATGGAGTAGGGACACAAACAGAGAGGAGAACTTAGGGTAGGTTTTGTGTAGCAGAGGATGTGTCGTTGCCACGGCAATGTACCGGTAGCATCACTCTCAGCTTGTTCATTTCAGCAGGCTGCCCCGGCGCTCTTGGAGCGCGTGCCATTTGTTTGTTTCAATGTGGCATTAACGCACCACTTAGGAGTGCAGCTGTAGAGCTAATTCTCCAATCAATCACAAACCGCTCTTTTTTACTTATATGAAACATTCTGAGGATTTTAATTATCCTTACAGAGCCTTGCCGCTTTGAAAAGAAACCAAAATTACATGTATATATGTTTGTTGTTTAGTGTCAGTCTTCACTTGCGTTTGTACGATTATCATCTTACAATATTTCATGGATGCTGAACAAAATGAATGAATCAAATTTGTCATTTTACTGTGTAGATAATGGGGACATACATGGACATGTTCCTCACAAAAGATCATTTGCTGACATGGAATTGTCCAAATTTCCTGCTTAGTTGGAGGATTTCAAGGTGACAGCACACAGACTGTTTCTTTCTCCTCTCCTTGTTTGGCTACTGGTGCCATTGTCATCGTCAGCAGGATGCTTGTTGCTTTGGCAACTCGAGAAACGGGCCTGATATCACCTTCCTGAAGTCCCCCGCCCTTCCATTTGAAAGAGTGGCCGGCCGATAAAGCTATTTGTCCAAGGAAAGCCTTCCTCCGCTGCGATGACAGCGGGGTAGACAGCCTGCCGCATCACTCAATCATCCAAGCATTAGTTTGTTGACAGAATGGATATTTCGGGACTGGAAATTTATTGACTGGGCCTGTCAGGCCTCGAAGAGCCTGCATTGTGCTGGAATCCAATCGCAGTCTGCATCAGGACTCGCTCTCTTGAGAGCATTCAAAGTTTTGGATTGATCTTGAAAGCACTTAAGAATTATTGACCAATTTGTTTTTCCTCGCCCAATTTATTTTTTTGCATCCGCAAAAGCTCAGTCCAGGATTTCTGCATGCGAGAGACAAGGGAGAAAACTTGATTAGTTACGTTAAGGACAATGGTCTCACACCACTGATTTGGCATGTTATTTCCCTTAGTAAATGCACATTGAGCATACAGTAGGTTTCTTTGCACTGGAAGTAATTGTGAAGGATTTAGAAATAGGGTACATGCCAGGCATGTGATTTCTCAGGAATTTTTTTATGGATTTTAGGATATCTTGCTTCAAAATTTTGGATGCACATTCTGTGTTTTGGAACTTAAGGAAACTCTGGGGCCTGAAAATTGTGAGAGAACTCATGCCTCGCGAGCTAATCCGCCCTGAGTACACCCTCACCAGTGAAAGAAAGACGGATGGTACTAAGTTTTCCAACTGGGTTCCGGTACACGTTTGGCATGCATGTAAAGACCATACATTCCTCACTAAATTTGTTGCACATACTCAGCATGCTACGCAACAAATGCACATAAACTTGCGTGCCTGTGCAGCGAGTGCATACAATAGTACTGTCAATTTCATTTCAAAACATGCCATCTTTTTTTCCTGCTTGGAGCGGCTAAAATCCCTGAAAACCAGTCATGATGCATATTTACTTGTAGCCTCAACCACTCTGCTATAAGTTTTGTGGATTTTTTTTAATCCCTTCAATCTCACCCTGATACATCTGCCAACACATGTGCCAAGAGAGTTAGTTTTGAGGAGCTTGATAAAAGTGTGCAGTTACAGTATGTAGTCTTTCCAAGTCACGAAAATGGAAGTACTAATCACTATGCTGCTTACATGTACATGAATAAGCAGTGAACAAGTTCATCATGGCCATTGATGATACAGCAAGGAGACTTACGTACCAGGTACCGTCACTTACGGGATCCTTCGAGGAAGATTTTCATTCTAAGAAGCACTTCCATTGTACAGTATGTTCATGCATTTCTGACAGAAAAGATTACATGTAAATGCCGATACATTGTGCATGCAGCCGTCCATTCATTTTTCCAATGGCATACATTGTCATTATCTAAAATTAAGCATTTGTACTGACTGCCTGCAGATTGCAGATCTTCAGAAATTGGATTGGGACTTGGGAGTCTATTTGTTTGGCACAGCTATCATGATTTACCAATCGGTCTGGTTATCATCATAGCTATTTTTTATTCTATGGACGTCATTCGTGAGATAATGCTGCAGTCACCTGTGCTTTGCACTTTCGCCGTTCATTTTTTGTCAGCAGTTTTTTCATCTGCAATGGTTATGCGATACTAAAATAAACAAAACAGTTACCAATTAAAATTATGGCATTGAGTTACTTGATATGAATTGATACTTCTGGGCTATATTAAGCCAATTTGTTTGAGCTCTTTTTGGGGGTCGTAGTGCTCATACATGTAAGTAACTTTTTTTAAAAATGAACTTACTCGTGAGGATATATATACATGTACAAATACAAAGAACCTAGATATAATGAAGCTGAAATTGTTTTTCATGGTAAGAAATTGCTACAAGTATCTGAATGTTATTTCCAGTTTTCCAATGAAGCTACGTGTACATGTACATGGACCATTAATTGCATGTATACTGGTAGGCCATGTACCTGTTTTTGAGACAGGAATTTCCTTGATGGCTTTCACCATTTGACTCTCAAATTTCTCCCTTTCATTTGTTGGGATAGGGATGGGACGCCACTTTTTTGGTTTGACTTCTAAAATGGTCAGTTCATACGTGTTATTTGATTTGAAAAAATCATTTTTATGTAGAGCTAATGTTCTACCAGTTGTGTGTTGGGAAAACTGCACAATACCAAGTGTCCTTCAGTGTTGTTTTGTTATCTTTGAATTTGGCACGCTCTAACTTTTTTCTCCCATAATATTGTATGCAGTCACTTTACTGAGTGTGCATTGTACATGTACATTTGGGATCTCAGGATCTCACGCAATCAAACAGAAAGTGACTGTAAATTTTCTCCACTAATCAGTGTCTCCAGCTTTGTTTGATGTTGGGCCCTGATTAATACATTGACTTTTTTGGGGGGGGGGCCTGAGCTTTTCTTCAGCCTGTTTGCTCAAAGCAAACGGGCCTGATGAGAATCTTGTTTGCCGGCAAGGGGCCCTTGAGGACTCTTGTCGCTACTGATTTGCAAACAGACCGTGAGAAGGCAAGAGAAAAACCTTTTTAAAAAAACGGGCCAGGTCCTCATTTCGAGAGCTGAAATGCTTCATGTCCTTAGTTCTCTCGGGGGACGGAGTTGCAGCTAAGCGTGCAAGTAGATGTTTGTCGGTTGTGGCTTAACAGTGCGCACATCACAAGGATCATCCTGATCAGTCGTATTTTCAGGTTGCTCAGGGGAAGTGGCCTACATTAGGGAGACAGAAGCAGTAAACACTTCTACAGCTGGTGCATGGTACATTTGCTACATGTCCGTGATGCTGTGTTCACTGTTGACTGGTGCAGAAAATTTGTGAACTGTTGATATTGCAGCAAACAGATATTATTGTATGACCAGATGTTTACAGAAATATCCAGGTTTTACTTTACATGTACCTCCCTAAGAAACAAATCAAACACCATACATGTATCTCACAAACTGTGTTTACGTACATGTACATGTACAAGTACATGTACATTGTTTCTGTAGTAACTTGAGAGTTTGTTGTCCAAGTTTGATGATGGTCTTTTTTTCTTTTGTGTGTGGCTCTAGTCATGGGTACTTATTTTGTTACAAAGATGCCACCATGAAAATGAGAAAATGCAAGATCTATCCTTATCTTCTTTGAATTATTAGATCTTGTACTTTTTATAAATGGTGAACTTCAGATTTGCTAGGGTTTTTTTCTTCTGTTTTCCCCAATGCAAGTTTGCTTGTGTTTAAAAAGTAGCCCCCAACTTTAAAATGTAGCCAGCAAGTTTGAAACTCTTGATGCCACTCTTTATAGTACATTGTGAAATATTTTAAATATACAGCATAATCCTGATAAAAAAAAAAGCTGTTGAAGATTATCCATAATTGCTTCGTGCTCCAAAGATGGCAAAGCTGCCAAGATGTGAACTACATAGATTTTGACAAGGTTCCTAAATAACAACATGTCAACTTTACGCATGGTTGGAGCTCTACACTGTTGCAAGAATCCAAAACTTGATGTTTTCCCACGGCAGTACCTGATGGATAAGTTTGACATCACAGTTGATGTCACCTGCCTCTTGTGATTTATGTTCTCCAGTCTTAGAATGCTTGCAAGTGTGAAGTTCAGAAACATTTGTCAAAATGGTCGAAAGTTTTGCCCACTGCATTTACAGTTTCAAGAGATCAACGGATGGCCAGTGGCATTTGAAGAGTCAACAAAGATAGCAAATATATGCTCATCCAAGGAACACAGGATTGACCTTTAGGAGAGGGAAGATTTTTATGATGTGTTACACTGGCAATTCACAGCAAGTTGTAGATCATGTACATAGATGTAACTCTGTGTACAGTAGAACCCTTTTTAGTAACACTTCAAAATGTGACACAGGCATCTTCTAGTATAAAGTGTTCCAGCTGTCAGTCACTATTATTGCCAAAAGCCATATATTTGCAAAATTTGGCTATGATTGCTTTAGCAGTAGCACTGCGTAAAAAGTGATTTCTTTTGTTTTCTTCTTTGTCTGAAACCTTGGCGGATATTCAAAATGTTCAGCTGGAGCCTTGACATGTAAGCATGCTTGGTTCTAAAAATCACAGAAAGCTCAACGTTTCAAAATGTACTCTCTGCTGGTCTCTCAGGGAGATTGTTGAAACAGCACATCTCTTGAAACATACAGTACGTACATGTAAATGCATGTGAATCTTGTCTTCCAGAAGAGAACCACTTCGCTACATGAATATACCAAAATCTTGCCACTTTGCAGATTTCTGTGCATCATTTGTAATGTACAGAAAATTTCTGAATTCCTCTCAGTGTGTCACTGGTAAGTGGCCTTTGAAAAATGGCCGATTTTCTGGGAGAGAGGATGTTGCAGAGTTTGAATTTGAAAGAGAACTTCTACAATTTCTGTTTACATACACAGGGTTCAGTCTCCATGGTGGGCTGCGAGGTCTTGGAGCTGTCCTCCAACAGTCAATGTGTGCTATCACCCCTTCAGCTGAGCAGCTGGTTTGTCAGACGGATGTGGGCGGAGTTATGAGCTGGCCTACCAGTAGAGGTGAGAAGTCAGTAAGCCCAGTAGCAGGAAATCAACCATTAGCAGAGCCGGTAAGACAAGGCACCCTGTCAGTTAGGCCAGTCAGCCCAGGTGGCGAATTGCCAAGAACAGATTTACAAGTACTCAACTTGCAGCCAGATTCAGTCGGTGAAACTGACCTCACAAGACCAAGAAGTGGACTGAATATCTCCCATAAAGCCAAAGATGCATCCTCTCCCACCTCTCCATCATCCAGTCACAGTACCAGTTCTGTTTCCTTGAGCCCAGCTATTGAAAATGAGCCCAATGAGTGTGTTTTCTCAGGTCAGGTCAGGGTTAACTCCTTTGCAGACTCATCCCATGGATACGAGTTTGTCAGTGACTCCTCGGACTCAGACTGGGATTATGAGGAGGTGGATTCCAGTGCCGGCAGCCTCAGGCCGGCAGAGGAGCACCGGCGGTCGCGCCTGACTCGCATGGTGATGCCGGAGCCCTTGCTTCCCCCAGTCCGCGAGGAGCTGGAAGTGAGCCAATCAGTCCAGTCAGTCAGGCCTCCTGCTGTCATCCAAGACCCCAGTGTGGAGCGAGACTTGCAGTGTGACCCGCGGGAAGGAAGAAGCGGAACCGGGAACCAGCCTTTGACTGAGGGAAGCTCACCAAAGAGAGGAGTGGAACTTAGCACTTGTGAGAAGAGAGCGTCACAGCATTCTGACAGACCTACCCACCGTCTTGCTCATAACCAAGAGTCATTTGAGATTGAAGAGGTGAGTTTGAAGAGAGGTGGGACTTGTACCTTTCTGCGGGATTTACAGGGGTAACTTTAATCATTATTTTAGAATTGCCACTACCACGCATCTTGGTAAGATAATACCGTTGTTCCTGTAACCTGATTACATCCCTTGAAGAAAATCATGTGAACTGTCAAATTTCATATCAGTTTTAAATCAAAATGAATGTAGTGCGTCTGTCAGTTATTCTTTTACAGCACGCCAGCATTTTCAATATTGGCAATTCTGTGTGTAATTTTTTAACGTATCTGTTGGAAATTTCCAGGCTGCAAAGCAAAATGTGATGTCTTTTTTAAAGGCATCTTTCAAAGATCTGAGGCTTGGCCTTTAATAACGAGCAGTGCATATATGTGATCTTTATATTTATAAATGCTTATGTGAAGAAACTTAAAAGTTGGCACACATACATGTAGATGTACATACATACTGTATATGTAAGTTGTCATTTCAGAATATGTGAAGTTGTGTACATGTACATGAGGTTTGGAGATATTAATCTCACTCGAGTTGTAGAGAATGTTACTTCGGAGCATTATTGAATAAATGTCATTAAGGCAAAGCCAAACTCCGCTGGGTTAAATTGCCCGTAACGCATGCCCATTGTGCTGTCATGCACGTTGTTGATCAAATTCACTGCGCAGAAAAACATTGCTGAAGGCTTTGTGTGGTAATTGAATCACTGAAATTGTTAGTGTACAGCTAATGTATCTCCTGTTTTGCTCAGGGTTCTGAAAGGTCTGGGGTCCCAGAGTGCACTTGTAGAGTTCTTTCATTTTGCTGTGGCTGACATCTGCTGTTTACAAGCTCTTCAACTACATCTCAGCCAACATACCGTAATCTTACTTTGCCATTTCACAAAAGCCATGTTTTTCAGAGTTTTTTGGAGAATCCTCAAGGCATAATCTTGGGAATTGGTACATGTTCAGAGTCTTGACATACGGTAGCAGGGGTGAACTTTCACAATGTTTTTCACTCCTTGAGGGGGCTTTTGTGACTTGTTTTCATCTTGTTTTTGGTCACTCAGTGCATTTCCTTCCCACGGAGGGCACTGTGCATCTCGGCAGGGGCAGCCATTGGTGGGCACCTTTGTTCGCATTTCACTGCTGTGCAAATTATGTGTAGTAGATCAGGAGAGGGTGAAACCAGAGTTTTTAGGGTTCTCCATGAAGGCTCAGCCAACTTGACCTGTGAGCAATAAGGCAAGAGTGTTTTCTGTCGGACAACTAAAGCAGGCATTGTCTGTTTAAGTACATAAGGAAAGGGGAGGGGGTCAAGAATAAAACTTCATTCTTCTCATCTCCAACTGCCCAAAGTCATCTTGATTGAAGGAGCAAACAGCTCTATAAAGATGCTGTTTGCATGTAGATGCTCATCCTGACTTTCCAGACATTTCACCATTAATACATGTACTCGTACCTTAGAGCTTTGTAGCAATTTTGATATTGACATGTACACGTTCGGTATGCATATTGTTTTTACTGTTCGTTTGACACAGACAAAGTAAAATATGGTAGAATTGAAAAGAAAACCACAAAACAAAAACACACCAAATGGAATAAAAATTTGAACCGGAAAACAATAGAACTAACAAGCATTCAGCCAAAGAGAGGCATGAATGGGGAGCCACTAACAAATCTAAGAAACTGTCATAAACAAACTTACACCAAACGAAATAATACAAACAAAATATTTGGGTCAGGGAAAGCAAAAGTAAATTAATGTACTTAGAGGTATGCATTCCTGCATGTATTTTAACAAGGACAAACAAACAGTGAAAACGAATAAGCAGGAGAAACACCAGTATTGATGTATGAATATCAAGGTTAGGGTTGGGGTAAGGGTTATTGTTGGTCAGGGTTAGGGTTGGTTAGGGTTAAGGTTAACTGATGGGGATGCTGAGGTACTGAAAAGAAGAGGTGGTGGATAAAACAGTGTTACAGATGAATTTACCGACTGCGAGTGACATGCATCAACCTTTGTTTTAGAGGAATTGAAGCTCAATCTACATGGATTTTGTATGGACCATTCTCAAAAGTCTGTAAATGTCAGTCTGTATATTTCATGATGTTTGTCCATGTC